CCGGCGATCCGGGAGCGGGTTTTGCGTCCCATTACTGCCTGTCGCATGGAAAGTGACGACATTGTGTGGTCGACTTCGAGTGATCTAGCTGGCCGACCTGTTCTGTCAGTTAGGATTGCTCTACTTAATGCCTGCTCTATAGCAAACAAGGCGTTTATCCTGAATGACTTTTTTATCAGAGAATGTTTGGATTTCTTGTTTTTGACGGAGACCTGGCAGCGGGAGCAAGCCTACTCCCACCTGAAGGAACTTTGTCCTCCGGACTGCTCCGTGTTTGGGACCCCGCAGGTTTCGCGGCGAGGAGGTGGTCTTGTGCTCCTTTTCCAGAGCCGTTTTCATTGCAGGCTAATGAACACGGATAGTTTTAGCTCGTTTGAGCTTCAAATGAGTAAGGTTGGACACACTGACCCATTTTATTGTATCTTGATTTACCGACCTCCACGTTCTATACGATTGTTTATAGAGGAGTTTTCTGACTTTTTATCATCCATCATTAAGTTTGAGAGTGTTTTACTTCTTGGAGATATTAATTTTCATGTCGATGACCCTTCTCTTGGTGTAGGAAACATAAAAAGGGATATATTGAAAAAGGTATCCTATAATAAAGACCGATCTTTACATACTAGAAAACCTAAAGGTTTATTTCTGTCATAATAATAATTTTAAAAAAGACTAAAACCACTTAAAGGTTTTATTTATTTGACCTATTTTAAGTCTGAAGATGACCTCATTCTTTCTCAGTTAATTACACCAGATACAAACAAAGTGTTTCTAACTGAACAGTTTCGTGGGTTGTGTTGTTTCTTTCTTTCAGGTGACGACAAAACACCAGCAACAACAAAACCAACAAGAACAACTGAAAAGACCACAACAGGAACCAGAGCTGGTCCAGACCCACCAGGTAGTGAGTCAACATTTAGTGTTTGTTTGTTTATAGTCTCTCTGTCCTCGTGTTTAACTTTTTCATTCATTATTTTTTGTTTGTTCATGTTTTTTATTGAAGGAAAAAGTTATTTCATTAATTTTCTTTCTGAAAGGTTCAAACTGGCCATTTATATTAACCCTTGTGTTCTGTTAAGGATCATAAAATATATATACACCTGACGCGAAAAATAAAATACTAAGTTTTCTATTCTCTAAAAAAAAAAAGAAAGCGCCCATCACACTGATCAGGAGCAGTGCCCCTTAACAGAGGACCCTTTGGAAAGTAAGTTTTGGCTGCGGTCGAGACTCTATGACTATATGTAATAATAACAGTTCTCACTTCGTGTAATAATAATAATGTTTTTCTCGCAAGATTAATGTGTGAATCATATCAAGTGATGAGTGACATTCTGGCTTGTTACAACCGAGACGGTGTGATTAAGAAGTAAGCCTACTAATGTTTTTGAGTAATTAGAGGATGTCAGCCTGGAATGTAAACTTAACTCATTTTGATGTGTTAGATGACTTGATTAATAACTTGTTGATAAATAATTCATCCGACATAAGGATGGCCGCAGACTCTGGTCGTTATACTGTCCTCATTGTATTAGACTTGACATCTGCTTTTGACACTGTGGACCATGAAATTTTGATAAATCGCCTTCAATCGTTGGGATTTCACTTTGCATGAATAATACAGTGTAAATAAAATGTAAAAGTACAGCAGAGAAAAGAAGTCACTAAATATTCAATACTTCAAATAGTTCAGTGCATCTAGCCACAGTAACTGTGCAGACAACAGCTCCCAGTGAGTCCAGTACAAACACCAGTCAAGTTTTAACCTCCAGCATTAGAGGAAGTCAGAAGGAAACTAGTCCAAGTTTATTTAACAGGATAATGTTGTTCAGCTTCTGCCTGGGTTTCATCAGAATACTCAAAGTCTACAATGAGCTCAGATCTGAAAAATTTTATGAATGACAGAAGACAAAATCTGCCTGTTCTGTATTTATTGCTGTACTTACCAGTTTGAATTCTAATCTGAAACTCTCTAGCCTGTAGTTAAAAACTAGCTATGGAGAGGAAAGCGAAAAATACAATTTAATACAAAGTACATTTAACAGCAGCAAACCTCAGCCTAAGCACCACTAGTGCATATAAGGACGTTGGGTTTGTCTTCCTGCTGCCAAAAAGAAAAGAAAAAAAAAAAAAACACAATTTGATTATTTCCCAAATCATTCAGTCTAAGTGTCCTAAATTTCTATTACTGTTGGTCAGTCAGAAGGTTTGGATGTATAGTGTAGTTATGTAGTTGATGCATTTGTTGATCGAACACATCACACTAATGATAACGCAACCAATGGCTAAAAGAAGCAGGTTATAGATAAGGAAAACGGAAGCTCTTATTCAGACATAATCTCAGAATAAGTAGAAGAACTCTGATGGTGAGATATGGGCATTATGTGAGCTACTGAAACAAGATATTAGACAGAGGCTTTTTATAATATAAAATGTAAATGAGGGACTTAAGCTGGAACAATGGTTGTTAGGCTTGGAACAGCTTAAAGCAGGATTCAGGACAGGAGAAGTTAATTTCATGCCCTGATACACATCTACTAATGCAAACAACCACTGTAGTATAGTAAATAGAACATTAGAGGGCTGTTTCACAAAAACAGAATTTAAAAAAGATCCAGGATAATATAAAAAAAGTCAGACTTGACCTGGTCTACCAAGTGCATCCTGGCTTTATACATTACACAAAGGCAAAACCAGGTTGAGGGGGTTCAGCTATGTAGGTGAAGTCAGATCTAGGCAATTCGGACGAATGCACGTTCATGGGTTTCTTCAGCAGACCACGAGGTTAACCACACATTCACTGATGCTGACATATAGAAGCTGCGTTCCACTTAGCTGTGCCGGAATACCGTGTTAAGTAGTGTTGTTAAAGTGAACGGACTCTGCCAACCTGCTCATACAGCACCGTGCTGGTCAGGTTCTCGAGTACACCCGTTGAAGACGCGTGCAGCATACTCCAGAACCACAGAGCATGCCCACTCATGGACAATTATGGGGAATGCAAGCACATAATCTGTGAAGACGGAAACAAGGCTGCTGTAATAAAAGTGAGAACAAGCGTGGCAGGCAGTAGTGGACTGACTGAATGCGTTAAGTCATTTAAAATATACTTTTACATGGTTCTTAATTGAAACCATGTTACTCAGGAAATATACCATATAGATGAATTACATTTACTAATCCACAACCTAAGTGTGCCAATATGATTCAGTCTACAAATGATGGAATCTGGGTGATAGAAATCTGATGAAATGTGGCCTGTTCCCTCTTACAGACCTAAAACTTCTTGTCAGCTTACTTCTAAACCTGATAAATGCACAACAAGTAGATCTTAATGTATAGGGCTGTTTTGGGTGACTGATATCGCTTTGATATTATTAACAGTGATTAGCTATTTTTTAAATTTCAGTGTTCTATTTAATACAGACTATTTAGTATTAATGTAAATATATATGAAAAATAGGCACATATGGCTCCAGGTCTACATAGGCCAATAATCAGAGTGTTATGACAGTTCCTTGAGCTTGGCATTTTAAATAATTTGCAAAAAAATTAAACATTGGACATTAAAGGAATAAACTTTGCTTTATAATTGAAAACACAGTCTTTATATATTGAACTTAGCCTGTATAATTAATGTGATTATCATATCAACTTTAAGGAGTTTGGTGTCTGCAAAAATAAAGTGACAGCACTTTCACCTTTTTGTGGAATACCTATATAGGCTATACTGTTAACTGTAGACTAAAAAACTGCATGCAGTATATAAGACTTTATACAGTATATTGCTCATTGAAGACCGATTTGCAGCTTTATCGTCTCTCTCTAATCCCGTCTTTCTCAAAATGTGGGATGCGCCCCACTAGTGGGGAATAAAGACATGACAGGTGGGGCACAATGAATGGAGAAAATTAGAAATGAGTCATTAATACAAGTAAATTAAAATAACATCAGTTCGGGGCCCGGGAGAAAAAAGTGGAACCATAGTGCAACAATAACGGTTTAACGTCGGCATGTTAACTGCCGCGCAACAATATAAGGAAACGTTCACAGAGAGGACCAATAGTGTATGTAGTGGGCATAATAACGTAAATGGATAAATTTTTTACATGGACCACAAAAAAAAAAAACAGGCGATTCAGCGCAAGCAGACAAAGAAACAACAGGCAGTAGCCTTATCAACCAAAAAGCCAGCTGAAAAGAAAATATGATGAAGCCTATCTTGCGCTTTGATTCACGGTGGGAATAATGGGGGCAGAGGAGGGACCCATGTGTGTCTTGTGTCTTAAACCGCTGGCAGCAGACATCATGATACCCAACAAATTAAGGAGACATTTAGAGACAACACACCCCAGTCAATTGCTGAGCAGCTCATTCTCCCTGTAACTGTAGACATGGTGTCGATTATGCTGGATGAAACAAGTGCTGCAAAACTAAAAACTATCCCCGATAGTTTCACTTATATTTTATCCGTTTTCAACTTAGTGTTATTTGATATTTCAATCAATTTGAAATTTTAAAACTGGCCAATTTCGTTATCATTTTTTGACAAGTGGGGCTTGAAAATTCGTCCACCCTCTTAAGTGGGGAATGACAAAAAATGTTTGAGAACCACTGCTCTAATCACTTCAACATCTGCAATAAGATTCATCAAACTTCTAACAACAGTATAAACAGCAGTCTTCATAAACACAATCATTAAAAATCACTATCACATTTTACAGATTTAGTGCATAAAAATGCATTGGTTTCTAATCAGAGTGACTGCTGAAAAAACAGATAAGGCACCAGGATTAATCAAGTCTGTTAACCCAGTCTGGAGCAGGCTAGCTGCAAAGAATAAATCTCCACAGTAACTTATGTGCCACTGCTTTTCTGAATCAGGGTCACAGCTAAATTCATTCACGATAACAAGAAAATCCCAGCGTAATCCGCTATCTGGGTTTTGTGAAACTGATTGGTCAAAAAGAGAATGATAGTATAATAAAACCAAAATTTACCTTTTAAAAAGCTGAAGAGAGGAGATTCTCTTAGTCATATTGGAGCTGCACCTTCAGGAATACTGTAAAAATGAAGCAGGCATGCTGTCAAACAGTTATTCCTGTAATACACACAAAACATGATCAATTTTTAGCAGGTCAGCAGAAAAGAAACATGTACATACCAATTTGCCAAATAATGAGCAATACTAAATAAGCTCAATAACATCAGAGGATATGATGGAGTCATAAAGTATATACTACTACTAATGATGATGATGAGGAGAAGAAGAAGAAATAGAAACAGAACTGTCAAATGAGAGGCATATAGCAACTTGTAAGTGATATATTAATAATTGCTAACAGAACCAGCTCAGGTTTAAAATTAGCTAACGTTTTATTGTTAAAATGATGTGACTAAAACGTAGCAATAACGCTGAAAACTCTACAGCATATTCATCATTAACATTCATCACGTTAAATACTCAAAAACTTCAGTTCTTTAGTTTAACCGGTTGATAAAAAAACAACAGACAATACAATGCCTTTACTGGCTAACAAGCAACAACACAAATCACGTACAAGTAAACAACAATGAAAACTATCAAACACCAAACTGGCGAAGGAGGAAGGTCCGTTTCACACAGCAGGAAAGGTAATACTTGCGAGATTGTAGGCAAAAACCCTTGAGGTTATATTTATCTCAGGATGTTAGCTAACGTTGGTTAGCAAAGCTAAGAAACTCATTAGCACTAGCTTGTATTGACTTTTTGTAATAGAGTTGAGAACATACAGCCCGGTCCACTGAGTACATCAATATTAGAGTTAATTATACATATTAACCGATTTAAAAACAACAATTCCGATACTATAAAAGAAATACTTACTTGACAGACGCTGAGCCGACGTTTAACTTCACGTTAGCCCATCAGATTCCAAATGGAAAAAACTGTAGCTGTCAGTTGCATATTTATATTCCCCTCAACTTAAATCCAACCGTGACGAGCAATACTGTTTATTGAAACTACCCTAAATGTCAATTTCTGGAAAGTTGAGCATCCTCTCGCCTTTGAACAATGAGTTTTAACAAAGTCTCCCTTTAAGTACATCTGTAGGAGAACAGCACCAAAACAATGTTACTTCCTTTTCCAAACCTTCAGAATAAAAGCATGATTTCCCCAGCTATAAAAGTTCAATTTGTAAAAACAAAACGAACAAAATAAACAGTGTGAAAGTCACTTTCGGCTTTTCCCGTTTAGGGGTCACCACAGCGAATCGTCACACTGACGACTCGCGTGTTGACATTTGGCACGTGCTTTACGACGGATATCCTTCCTGGGGCCCGTTTCAAGAAGGAGGTTTTGTTGAAACTCTGAGTTTGTTAACCCCGAAATGAGGAAAACTCGGAGTTTTCGGTTCCAGAAACGGAGGTAACTTAAACCCGGGAAAGCGGGGTAAGTTAAACCCGTTTCAAAAAGAGAGGTAATCTAAACTCAGAGTCAGTTACTATGGCAAATTACTCTGTGAACCTAACCTG